ACTTCCTGACCATCCAAGCCTAGTTACCCCCACGCACTGTTATAATCATGGCTCCCCATTTGTCTCCCTCTTTGCTCTTTCCTCATTTGTCTCCCTCTTTGCTCTTACTGACATGTGAAAACACCTGGTTATTTAATTTCTGTCTCTTGGCTAGAATCCGGGCTCTTTGGGGGCTGGAAGTAGGTATGTTTTTATCACTTTAAGCATCTACCCTAGGGCCATTCATTGAGCCAACACTAGTGGGGGCACCTGGGATAAAATGGTGAACAAGATATTGAAAATTTCTAGTGAAATACTTATATTCTGGTGAAATACTTAAGTAAAACATATGGTATCAGGTGGTGAGAACTGCTATTCAGAGATTAAAACAGGGGCGCCTGGGTGGCTTGGTCAGTTAAGTGTCTGCCTTCCTCTCAGGTCATGGTCCCAGAATCCTGGGATGGAGCCCTGAGCCCCAAGTCTGGCTCCCTGCTCAGCAGGGAGTCTGCTTCTTCTCTCTCCACCCCCTTGTGCCTGCTCACGCTCGCGCTCTCTCTCTAATAAACAAAATTGTTAAAAACAAAAACAGAGAAGGAAGATGAGGAATGTATGAGGGCAGTTTGCTTGAGAAGAGGGTATTCAGAGGAAGCCTCACTGAGAAGGTGTCATTCTTGCAAAGATCTGAAGGAGGGGAGAGAGGAAGTCATGTGGATACCGAAGGACAACCATTCCAAGCAGAGGGAACAGCCAATGCAAAGGCCTTGAGGTGAAAATGTGCCTGGTGTGTTCCAGGAACCGGCTTTGTGGCTGGAGTAGAATGAGGGGGGTGGTAAATGGTAAGTGATGCTGTCAGAGATGGGAAAAGGCGCAGTCCAGTCCAAGAGGGGACGGAGGGGCCTCCAGGGTTGGGGGAGGACTTTGACTTTTCCTCTGAGGTGGGGCCCCTGGAGGCTTCCCTGATCTGGCTCAGGTATTCACAGGAGCCCTGTGGCTGCATGGTGTGGGTGTGGGAAATAGACTGTGGGAGGCGGGGCGGGAGCCAGGAAGACAGTGAGGAGGCTGATTGAGGGGAACAGTCTGGAGAAGAAGTGGGTCGGATCAGAGCGGAGGCCATGGAGGGGTTGAAGAGGGCGAGTTGTGGATCTGTTTTGGGTGAAAGTAGAGCCCAACAAAAACAGACATATAGACCAATGGAACAGAATAGAGAACCCAGATAGGGACCCTCAACTCTATGGTCAAATAATCTTTGACAAAGCAGGAAAAAACATGCAATGGAAAAAAGACAGTCTCTTCAATAAATGGTGCTGGGAAAATTGGACAGCCACATGCAGAAGAATGAAACTCAACCATTCTCTAACACCATTCACAAAGATAAACTCAAAATGGATGAAAGACCTCAATGTGAGACAGGAATCCATCAAAATCCTAGAGGAGAACATAGGCAGTAACTCTTTGACATTGCCCACAGCAACTTCTTTCAAGATACATCTCCAAAAGCTAGTGAAACAAAAGCAAAAATGAACTTTTGGGACTTCATCAAGATAAAAAGCTCCTGCACAGCAAAGGAAACAGTCAACAAAACAAAGAGGCAACCCACAGAATGAGAGAAGATATTTGCAAATGACACTACAGATAAAGGGCTGGTATCCAAGATCTACAAAGAACTTCTCAAACTCAACACCCAAAAAACAATCAAGTCAAAAAGTGGGCAGAAGATATGAAAAGACACTTCTCTGAAGAAGACATACATACAAATGGCTAACAGATACATGAAAAAATGTTCATCATTAGCCATCAGGGAAATCCAAATCAAAACCACGTTGAGATACCACCTTACACCAGTTAGAATGGCAAAAATGTACAGGGAAAGAAACAACAAATGTTGGAGAGGTTGTGGATGAAGGGGAACCCTCTTACACTGTTGGTGGGAATGCAGGTTGGTACAGCCACTTTGGAAAACAGTGTGGAGGTTCCTCAAAAATTTAAAAATAGAGCTACCCTATGACCCAGCAATTGCACTCCTGGGTATTTACCCCAAAGACACAGATGTAGTGAAAAGAAGGACCATATGCACCCCAATGTTCATAGCAGCAATGTCCGCAATAGCCAAACTGTGGAAAGAGCCGAGATGCCCTTCAACAGATGAATGGATAAAGAACATGTGGTCCATATATACAATGGAATATTACTCAGCTTTCAGAAAGGATGAATACCCAACTTTTACATCAACATGGATGGGACTGGAGGAGATTATGCTAAGTGAAATAAGTCAAGCAAAGAAAGTCAATTATCATATGGTTTCACTTATTTGTGGAACATAAGGAATAGCATGGAGGACATTAGGAGAAGGAAGGGAAAAATGGGGGGGGGGGAATTGGAGGGAGAGATGAACCATGAGAGACTATGGACTCTGAGAAACAAACAGGGTTTTAGAGGGGGGGGGATTGGTTAGCCCAGTGATGGGTATTAAGGAGGGCACATACTGCATGGAGCCCTGGGTGTTATATGAAAACAACGGATCGTGGATCACCACATCAAAAACCAATGATGTATAGTGACTAACATAACATAATAAAATAAAAAAAAATAAAAATGAAAAAAAAAGAAAGAAAGTAGAGCCCACAGGACAGGCTGAGGGGTCAAAGCTCCCCATGATTCAAAATCCCAACTGCAGGGCTCACAGTGGTGGCCAAGGTCCCCAGCTCTTTTTGGTGCTCTATCCACTATGAGATGCTGCTTTAAATATATATATATTTTATTTATTTATTTATTTGAGAGAGAGAGAATGAGAGAGTGAGCATGAGTGGGGGAGGGTCAGAGGGAGAAGCAGACTCCCTGCTGAGCAGGGAGCCCATGTGGGACTTGATCCCAGGACCCTGGGATCATGACCTGAGCCAAAGGCAGACACTTAACTGACTGAGCCACCCAGGCACCTATAATTTTAATTTTTTTTAAAGATTTTATTTATTTATTTAAGATAGAGCGTGCATGCGCAAGAGAGAGCAAGAGCGAGTGCACACAAGGGGCAGAGGGAGAAGGAGAAGCCGACTTCCTGCTGACCAGGGAGCCTACATGGGGGATCATGACCTGAGCCAAAGGCAAACGCTTAACCAACTGAACCGCCCAGGTGTCCCCAGATTTTTTTTAAAGTAACATCTTTATTGAGATATATTCATACAACTTAGTGGTTTTTATTCACAAGGTTGTGGGATGGTCACCACTGTCTAATTCCAGAACTTTCTCATCACCCCAAAAGAAACTCCATATCCTTTAGCAATCACCTGCCTTCAACCAGCAGCAACCCTTGAGCTACTTTCAGTCTCTATGGATTTGCCCATTCTGGACATTTCATATCAATGGAATCATAAAACATGTGACCAGTTTGTTCAGGGTTCATCCAGGTTATAGGATGTCTTTCATCCCTTTTTGTGGCCAAATAATATTCCGCTGCATGGACATAGCACATTTGTATTCATCGGTTGATGATCACTACTGCTCACTTCTCCAGGACTTTAGCTCCTGGCTCACTGTCTCTCATGCTGCCTCTCTCATCATCCTCAGTGATTTCCATACCCAGGTAGGTGACCCTCGGGCCATCCTTTGGGTTCCCAGACCTCCTCTTCTCCAATGAACTTGTCCTCCTCGCAGCCACTCCCTCCCTTGGGCACACCTACACCTCTTAGAACACCACAGCCTCTTAGAACCTCAGCTTCAAGCATCTCATTCACCATCCCTTGTATCCTGCCTTTCTAGTTGATTCCCTCCAAAACCTCAACTCCAACAATTTCCTCCAACACCATTCCTCTACTCCTCAGCCCCCTCGTGTCTTCACACAGATCAAATTCCTCGACCGACCATTACGATCACCCCCTCACACACATTCATGACACACCTCCCCACTCCACCATACTCATCTGGCAAAACCACAGTCCTTATAAAATCTAAGTTTCCACCTATCGTATGCCTGCATCTGTGCAGTGGAATATGGGCGGAGACAAATACACACCCATGCCAACTGGCCTCGCCTTAACTTCATGCCCACTCACTTGGAGTGGACCCACAGTGCTGCTCAGCAACTTTGCGGGTGTCCCTGGTCCCTTGATTCTCCCAGATGACATATCAGACCTTCTCTTCAAACCTGCGAGAGCTCCTTCCTCATCCTCACTCTCAGCAGTGACCTCCTTCTTGTTTCCTGAGAGAATCGCAGTCACCTCACCAGGTCCACCCTCCTCCTGCATCGTCACCCTCCAGGCCACCTTCTTCCTTGTGCCTGGGGTTGGGGCGGGGGGTGGGGGGGCATGTTCCCATCTGTTGCACTTCCTTTTTTTCTCCATGCATGTTCTCATTTTTCTCTTCCCCCATTCAAGAAATTGATCCCCTGTGGGCTCGGGGTCTCAGGAGAGAAAAGTGACAGGCCTGAGCGCAGAAATAGGTCAGCTCTCTTTTCTTTTTAAAGCCTCTTCAGGGCTCTAAGCGGAAATAGCTTCACGGTCTAATGAGCTTCAGAATGAAAGTTCAGTTGCCCTCAGGGGCCATTTGTTAAGTCAGCCCAGTAGAGGGGAAAGTGTCTGTTGCATTCCACAGCGGGGACACCCTCTCCCCCCAGCTCTATTGAGGTACAGATGACATGAAGAAAGTATACAAGTTGAGGAGTTTGGGCTTATCTAAACGTGGGAAGCCACCACCACAACCAAGATCATGGCCGTGAGAATGAACATAGCCATCATTCCTGAATTTCTTCGTCAAACCCTCCATCCCTCCCCCCTCCGTCCCTCCCCCCTCCGCACAGCCACTGACCTACCTGCTTTCTGTCACTATCAGTTAGTTGGTATTTTCTTTTTTCTTTTCTTTTTTTTTAAAGGTTTTATTTATTTATTTGACAGAGAGAGACACAGCGAGAGAGGGAACACAAGCAGGGGGAGTGGGAGAGGCAGAAGCAGGCCTCCCGCCGAGCAGGGAGCCCGATGCGGGCCTTGATCCCAGGACCCTGGGATCATGATCTGAGCTGAAGGCAGACGCTTAACGACTGAGCCACCCAGGCGCCCCAGTTGGTATTTTCCAGAATGAAATGTTACAGTGTGGATTCTCGTGTCTGGCTTTTTTCACTCAACATCATTGTTTTGCGCTTCATGTGTGTCGAACTAGGCCATTGCAGGGGACAGTTTATCAAGTCACCACGACTGGTTTTTATCGAGTGACCTGTTGGTGGACATTTGCCTTCTCTCCAGTCTTTGGCAATTACCGATAGAAGTGCTGTGAACACTGGTGTACAAGTCTTTGTGTGAACATATGCTTTCATTTCTCTAGGGTATACACCTAGGAGTGGAATGCTTGAATCATATACGGTGGGTATATATTTAACTTTTTTAAAAAAAAGATTTATTCATTTATTTGAGAGAGAGAGCATGGGGAGGCGCAGAGGGACAGGGAGATAAGCAGACTCCCCACTGAGTGGGGAGCCTGACGCTGGCTCAATCCCAGGACCCTGAGATCATGAGCTGAGCCGAAATCAAGATTCAGATGCTTAACTGACTGAGCCACCCAAGGCCCCCCTATATTTAAATTTTTAAGAAGCTGCCAAGCTTGGGGCACCTGGCTGGCTCAGTTGGTAGAGTATGTGACTCTTGATCTCTGGGTCATGAGTTCGAACCCCATGTTGGGTGTAGAGATCACTTAAACAGAAAACACTAAAGGGGCAAGATCTCTTAGCTCTGAGACTTGCCCTGTGGATCATGCAATCTTGACCGCCTAAGGTGTCATTGTTTGTTCGCGAACTGCCCCCCTGTACACAGAGGACAAGGGGAGACCAAAGAAAGAGACAGACCACCCCAGATTGGTAAGTGGCTGGTTTAATAAGCAAGGGAAGGTACTTACAAGGCTTGTCTTGGGCGCTGAAGATGGGTAGGTCTCCCCACCCACCCACCAGCATCTTAAAGATTATAGAGCCAGATGGTCTCAACAACACCTTGCTCTACTAAGGCTATGTCCTTGGGATGGCTCCCACTGTGGGAACGGTGGGCAGAAGTACAATCCACGGTCAGGGGAGGGAGTGAGGTGCCTCTGATCGCCTAAGTCCAGCTCGTGGGTCAAGCTGGGATGAGTCATTGCAAGTTCCGGTAGATAATGCCTGTCTCAGGTGTCATGGGGCTTAGGGTTCTCAGTAGCAAAGCATTATAATCTGCAGTGAGTGCTGGGGCAATGGCTGCTTCCCATGACTTCCATGCCCTTCTGGTGCTGGGTGTCTCCGCAGGGGTGTCCAGTTTGGCATATGGTGCAACAAGTCTTCCTGGATGATCATTCACATGAAGGGGGCGCCTGGGTGGCTCAGTCGGTTAAGCATCCAACTCTTGATTCCATGATCTTAGGGTCCTGGGATCGAGCCCTGCATCGGGCTCCGTGCTGGGCGTGGAGCCTGCTTAGATTCTCTCTCTTCCTCTTCCTCTGCCCTTCCCCCTGCTCATGCTCTCTCTCAAATAAAAATAAATAAATCTTAAAAAAAAAGAAAAAGAGGGGCGCCTGGGTGGCTCAGATGGTTAAGCGTCTGCCTTCGGCTCAGGTCATGATCCCAGGGTCCTGGGATCGAGTCCCGCATCGGGCTCCCTGCTCAGCGGGGAGCCTGCTTCTCCCTCTGCCTCTCTCTGTCTGTCTCTTATGAATAAATAAAAAATCTTTAAAAAAGAAAGAAAAAGAAAATGTATTAAAGCCTGGGAGGGTACTTTAGTCTACCCAGCCAGGGTGGTTTTACCTGTTAGTAATCTAATCTGCTATTTGAATATTCCACTTTTCCTTTCCACTAACCCTGCTGCTTGAGGGTTATAAGGGAGATGGGACCTCCATTCAATGTCCTGTTCTTTTGCTCTATCTTGTATATCGTGATCTTCCAAATGTGACTCCTGATCACTGTTTATTTGATGAGGGTATCTGTACGTGGTACTCAGCTTCTCTAATCTCCCTGATGGTGACCCCCTGGCTTGCACAGCGATAAGGGAAAGCTTGGGTTAGGCCAGATGCCGTGTCCACACCAAAGAATTTAGAACCCTCACTCAGGGAAAGGAGGTCAATATAATCTGTCTGCCAATCCCTCACTAGTTGGGAACTCTGGCGGCTGGCCCCACCCAGACTCCTTTGGCACTTGCTTTGGCATTATTTAGGACACACAGGACATACTTTTACAGAGTTAGCCAAGTCACTGTATGTCAAGGGCCATCTGGCATCCCTGACGATATGCCTTCCACCTGGGCGCCATGGTGGTTACTCTTAATGCTTCCTGATTGCCTGGGAGTGTCAGTGCCTTATGAACCACCGTGTGGACACCTCAGGCTCTTGCAGGTAAACCAAAACGTCTTTCCACATATCCTGACCCCACATGACTTATTCATGATCATTTACCCCTTGGCTCCCTATTGTCTGAGCCATAGGGTTCATCATTTGAGTACAGCCTGATGGTCCGTGCAAAGGGGGAGCAGTCGGGGTTCATGGGTGATCACCAGCCAAACCACTCCAAGTTCAGCCCACAGGCTCCTACTGTTTGTTCGGGTTTCCAGGTACCAGTGGGAATTTCCCCACTCCTTCTGTGCGGGCCACAGGGGCCACCGTGGGAAGGGGGTGGGCGCATTTGGAGGCTTGACATACTCTATGGGCCCTGGTAGCTAGCACCTGCCCTTCTAGAGACGGTGGAGTGGTGGAGAGAGTGCTTGTCTGCGGCAAATAGGCATGCCTCTTAGTCAAAGTGGGAGTCTGAGTTATGGCAGAGGTGGGTCGATGGGACGTATTCTCAACTCCCCCCTTAATAGGAAGGGAAGTTCTTCACTGGGATATGCCTATTCCCACATGAGAGGCTCTACTTGGAGGAGTACTGTGTACACGGCTAGGAGCTGTTCCTCTGTGGGGCTGTACCGGATTTCTGCCCCCTTCCAGAGCTGGGACCCAAATCCTAAGGGTACCGTCTCCTTCCGTTGTCCTAGCCAGAGTGCCCAATCCACATCTTCTGGAATCATGGACACATCTAATGCAAATGGCAGCCCCGTTTAGGAGATGCCCAAACTTTCATCTGCTCCGCCAGCATTTTTGACTTCTCAAAGGTGGCCTGCTGCTCTGATCCCCAGTCCCCATGTGCCCTTTCTTTACCAGGTAGTACAAGGGACGGAGGCACTGTGTCGGGGTGGCAGGGGAGGGGGGGATAAATTCCTTCAAAAACCCCATAAGGGTTGGATAGGCTTGCATCTCCTCCTTCACAGCTTGTGCAACAATGCGCATCTTATGCAACCAAATGACTCCCAAAAACGTTTTGGTGGCGCCCAGGCCTTGAATTTTCTGTGGGTTCGCCATGCATCCTCTCCCTTGCAGATGTTCCAGCAAACTCTATACAGAGTCCTGCAGCAGAGGCGAGTCTTCACATGTTAACATTATCTTCAGTGTCCTGGGCCCATTTTCCTGATGTGGAGGAGAATGGGGACAGATCTCTGGCTACCATCCCATGGCATGTTTTGGGGCTGTGCAGGGAGCTGTGGGGAGGCACTGGAAAGGTCCATTGTTTGCCGCTTCCACATGAAGGCAAATTGATCATAGTTATCAGAAACCTGCACTTGCTGGGGCTCCTGGGTGGCTCAGTCCGTTAAACATCTCAGCTCAGGTCTTGATCTCAGGCTTTTGAGTTCACGTCCTGTGCTGGGCTCCACCTGGAACCTACTTCAAACAAACAAAAGCATCAGAGCAGAACGGAACTGTAAATGATATAAAATAGCCATTGTTAAAAGATCTGATGAGAGTGATCATAAAGCAATTGACAAGGAAATTTGGTTATTTCTGTGACATACATCTTATTTTATTTTGTTTTTTAAAAAAATTTATTTGTTTGACGGAGAGACACAGCGAGAGAGGGAACACAAGCAGGGGGAGTGGGAGAGGGAGAAGCAAGGGGTGTGGGAGAGGGAGAAGCAGGCTTCCCGCTGAGCAGGGAGCCAGATGGGGGGTCCTGGGATCATGAACTGAGCCGAAGGCAGACGCTTAATGACTGAGCCACCCAGGTGCCCCTGAATATTTTATTTTTAAGTAATCTCTACACCACAACCCCAAATCAAGGGTCACATGCTTGACCGACGGAGCCAGCCAGGTCCCCCTCCCATGTAATTTAAAACATAAAATAAACTTAGTTTAATATCTTTCTTCTATAAGGAGAGAGAACACATCTTTTGATATTTTCTCTGGAAAATCCCAGAGTTAGTTTGAGGTTAACAAAGCTTGATTTAGATAGGATTTGGGGGAAGCTCGTCAAAAATATTGAAAGGTTTTAAAACACTTGATTAAATAGGATCATAGGTCACTGCGAAAGAATCTTTAGTTACTCATTTAACCAGAGGGACAATGAAAGACTTCACAGGCAAATACAGTAAGTCCCATAGTTGTAAAAATACTTAGCTCTGGTAATAGAGAAGAATCAGTTTTCTTAAGTAATCAAAGACCCGATAAAGACAACAGGGAGCACAGGAGAGGAATCTGTTTTCTAGGCAGATTACCTACAGTCAAGAAAAAGCCTTTCATAATCTCATCAAGAACAGACCAATGGTCCAAGAAAACTGTCCTTTTAACAGATGAAAGAAAATGACACTACCTTTTTTTTTTGAAATTTTATTTATTTTTGTGAGAGAGAGAGAGAGAGAGAAAGAGAGAGCGCGAGCGTGCGCATGGGGTGGGGGAAGGCAGAGGGAGAAGCAGGCTCCCCACTGAGCAAGGAGCAGAGGTCGGGACTCGATTCCAGGACCCTGGGATCTTAACCTGAGCCAAAGGCAGATGCTTAACTGACTGAACCACCCAGGGATCCCTAAGATTTTATTTTTGAGTAATCTCTACACCCAAGGTGGGGCCTCAACCTGTAACCCCAAGATCAAGAGTTACATGCCCCAGCAGTCTGTATTTTGAAAAGCCTCTTGCCCCCCCTTTCTCCCCTCAGTCTCAGGCAATCGTGGGGAGTGTTTATTTTTCAAAGGCATGATTAGATTTACATCTTCAAGGGACAGAGAATGCGAGTTTTCTCCTTGGGGTTTTGGGACATGTTTCTCCATTGGATCAACAGTCTAGGATGATGGCTATTTAAATGTTTCCTTTGGGGCGCCTGGGTGGCTCAGTTGGTTAAGCGACTGCCTTCGGCTCAGGTCATGATCCTGGAGTCCCTGGATCGAGTCCCGCATCGGGCTCCCTGCTCGGCGGGGAGCCTGCTTCTCCCTCTGACCCTCCCCCCTCTCATGTGCTTGCTCTCTCTCATTCTCTCTGTCTCAAATAAATAAATAAAATCTTTAAAAAATAAATAAATAAAAAAAATAAATGTTTCCTTTGTATTCAGGCTCCCACAGCATGGGGCACGCGGTCCATCTCATTGTCAGGCACCAGGACACCCTCGTCGCTTTCCCAGGGACCGTAAGTACCTCTTAGTGTCCTAATCAGGCTTTGTACACGCCCTCGGCTCTTAATCTGGGGCAGTTTGCACCCTCCTGGCTTTGCAAAACGGCACGCTAACGTCTGCAACTTATTATTTTGTTCTCCCACTGTGCTGTGAGCCCTGAGGCCAGCAGAGTAATGGACAACCGCATGTCCTTTTCCTGAATTCAGCTCCTCTTCTAAGCTCTAGCGCAAGCTTCAGCCTCTGGTGGCCACACTGCCCACACTAGAGGCCACCCCACACCCCCCGCTGTAGGCACCCCCTTCCCTGCCTGCCACAGTGTGCAGGCCAGCATTTTGGGGGGCAAACCGTCCTCGTGCAGTGCTCCACAAGCATCTAACGCATGGGGCCACCCCTCCCCACATAGAGGTCGGTGGCCAACTAGAGAGTTTCCCTGCAGATGTCCCTTTCCCAAGGCCCATTTCTTTGGTCTCCTGGCTGATTCGTTAATTGTCGGTTTGCGAACGGGCCCCGTACGCAGAGGACAAGGAGAGACCAAAGAAAGAGGCAGACCGCTCCAGATTGGTAGGTGGCTGGTTTAATAAGCAAGGGAACGCACTTACGAGGGTTGTCTTGGGCGCCGCAAGATGAGTAGGTCTCCCCAACCACCCACCAGCATCTTAAAGTTTTTTGTTTTTGTGTTTTTTTAGATTTTATTTATTTATTTGACAGAGAGAGAGACAGCCAGAGAGGGAACACAAGCAGGGGGAGTGGGAGAGGGAGAAGCAGGCTTCCCGCGGAGCAGGGAGCCCAATGCGGGGCTCGATCCCAGGACCCTGGGATCATGACCTGAACTGAAGGCAGACGCTTCACCGACTGAGCCACCCAGGTGCCCCTCTTTTTTTTTTAGTCTCCTTTAACACATAAAAATACATATAAAAATTCCTTTGGCAATTTCCTTTATCTCTACCCCTCAAGATACATGTTGGCAGTCATCCTCCAAGCATATGACCCACCGATATACATCTGAAGGGTCTCATGACTGAGTTTTTATTAAACAGTAATAAATAACCTTTTCCTAGCAATAGCTAGCCCCCCTCAGGGTCCTGGAAACCTTGTTTCCAAAATACCTTGGAGGTCTGTGCTATCCCTAACCCCCTCCCAACTTGAAAGTATATAATGGGCCATTCCTCATGACCCCAGTGCAGTTCTTTCTGCCCATGGGTCCTGTCCCCATGCTTTTATAAAACCACCTTTTTGCACCAAAGACATCTCAAGAATTCTTGCCTCCTCACCGTTCCCGGCGCCTGCTGGGCATGCACCCACCACAGGGCCTTTGCCCGGCTTTTCTCTGCCTGGAACATCCTCCCCAGATGCATGCCTGTGACTCTCACCTCTGGCAAGGTTTTGCTCAGGTGTCACCATCTGTGTGACTTCTCAAAAAGTATAACCTCTCTTACTGTTTTATTTTTAATCTGATACTATATATATCAATGGTTCTCAGCAGCAACTTGTTAAAAACACAAATTCTAAAAATAAACCCTAGCGCATAAGGTCAAATGATTTTTAAAAAAGATTTATTTATTTATTTATTTATTTGAGAGAGAGAGAGAGAGAGCATGAGCGGGAGGGTGAGAGGGAGAGAGAATCTGAAGCTGACTCCACGCTAAGTGGGGAGCTCAAAGTGGGGCTTTGATCTCAAGACCCTGAGATCACGCAACCCAGGCTGAAACCAAGAGTCGGTCACTTAACCGACTGTGCCACCCAGGCGCCCCCTAAGGTCAAATGAGTTTTGACAAGGGTGCTCAGCTCATTCAGTGGGAAAAGGACAGTCTTTTACACAGATGGTGCTGGGAAAACTGGAATGGATATCCACATGCAAAAGAGTCAAGTAGGATCCTTATGCAACACCATATACAAAAGTGAACCTAAATTGAATCAAAGACCTAACTGTAAGAAGTCAAACTACAGGACCCTTAGAAAAAACATAGGGGAAAACTTCATGACATAGGATTTGGCAATGATTTCTTGGATATGACACCAAAAGAACAAGCAACAAAAGAAAAACTGAATTGGACTACATCAAAATGAAAACCGTGGGACGCCCGGCTGGCTCAGTCAGAAGAGCATGAGACTCTTGATCTCAGGATTGTGAGTTCAAGCCCCATGTTGGGTGTAGAGATTACTTAAAATCTTAAAAATAAAACAAAATAAAATAAAAATTCCTTCTGGCTGCCATGTGGGCAGGGACTGGAGGGGATTTCCTGGACTGGAAGCCAGGAAGCAGTGGAGGCTGGGCGGGACCAGGATGGGGTCAGGGAAGGGGAAGGTCAGGGGGGCATGAAAGGGGACAGGGAGGTATGTAGGATGGGGCTCAGGGCTCTAGCCTAGGGACTGGAGGGATCATGAGGCCCCCCTATAATGGGTACTAGAAGGAGCAGGTTTGGGGGAGGTGCTGTGGCCAGTTTGGGACACCATGGGAGTGGGGCCACAAGAGGAGGCGTCCGGCACAAAGCCCAGAGCTCCAGAGTGAACAAGATGCTGGGTGTGACCCCATAGTCCTCAACCAGCGATAGCTCAAACGTCCACCTTTTACATTTAACTTCCCCATACTTTGCCAACATATCCACGCATCACCCGTGTACTTAGCTACTGGGTAGTTTTCTTGAAATCAACTCAGATTTTTTTTTTTTTATTCAACACATTTCTTTAAACAGGAAATGTCAGGATCACCTGGGTGGCTCAGTAGATTGCCTGCCTTCGGCTCCGGTCACGGTCCAGGGTCCTGGGATTGAGCCCCACGTTGGGCTCCTTGCTCAGTGGGGAGTCAGCTTCTTCCTCTCCTGCTGCCCCTCCCCCCTGCTCATGTGCTCTTTCTCTCTCTCAAATAAATAAATAAATAATCTTAAAAAAAAAACAACCACCAGGAAATGTCATTTCACTCTAGGAGGTGGAAAACCAGTACTACCTGCCATAAATAGAATACAGTAGTAGGAACAAATCCAGTGACTCAACAAGAACCAAGAAGAGGTGCTTGTGTAAGCATTGGGTGAAAGGCTGTTGGGGACAGGTTCTTCACAGGGTCCCAGGGTACAACCCACAGATGACATCATAATTCAGAGGGGGAGAAATCCAGCAGTCACTTCCCATTATGGGCAGAATTGTGACCCTCCCCTCCAAATTCATATTTTGAAGTCCCAATCTCCAGTTCCCCAGAATGTGACTGTGTTTGGAGCAAGGGCCTTTAAAGAGGTGATTAAGTTAGGGGTGCCTGGGTGGCCCCGTCGGTGAAGCACCTGTCTTTGACTCA